TTGTACACATCAGTGAGTGGGTGTGTTGTGCACGCATCCGTGTGAGGGTGTTTTCTGCATGTGTGGGCTAGGGAGGGCTCTGAATATCTCCTGGAACGGGAACCCAGAGCCCTGCGGCTCTGAGCATGCGCGCTAAGTCTGTGCGCCTGCACGTGTCCGTGTGTGTGCTGGAGACTCAGCTGCATTTGCTTGCTCGCTGGCGCTTGCTCTCATGCGCGCGCGCGTTCTCTCTCTCTCTCTCTCTCTCTCTCTCTCTCACACACACACACACACACACGCACACACACACGCACTTCTCAATCTCCTCCACTCCCCCCCCTTCCCTCGCTCTCCCCTCTCTGCCTCTGCCAGTTCTGCTTGGGCGGGGGCTGGCTCCTGCCTCCCTGGGGTGCCTGGGAGAATATCCCTGCCTTTCTTTTCTCCTCCGCCGTTCCTCCCCTCCTAGGTGATGCTCTCCAGGGCTGGCAGGCAACCTCTTCTGCCTTGAAAGAAGGGAGTGAAGGAGGGAGACCCCCCAGCGCAGTGCCCAGGATGCCATCTGCGGGGAGCGCCTTGGCCCCGTGACATTCATGCCTCTAGCGTTCAGCTGCCCCAGCTCCCAGCTCCGATTACCCGCTGGCTGCTGGGGGGAGGGTGGGGAAATGTGCCATGTCCAGCTTGGGGGTGCTCCTCGCTCTGCCTTCTCAGCGACTTCACTGTCCTACTTCTGTTCCCAAGGGACCCTGGGGCAAGGGGCTGTAAGGAAGGGGCTGAGCCCCTGGGCACGGGTGTGGGCACCGCCGGCCATCAGCAGCAGCACAAGGGATAGATGCGGCCAGGAGGTGACCTCTAGAGCTGGGCACCCCGAGGCTACCTGACTGGAGCTGGCCCAGGGTGGGGGAGGAGGGCCAGGAGAGCAGCAGGTGGGTGAGGTTGTTGGGGGAGTGGAGTGGGAAGCACCGTCTTTGATGTTCCTGCTGGGCATCTGGCCCAAGTCAAGGCTGCTGTTTATGTCTTTCTGTCTCTGACCTGCAGGGGAGAGTTTCCTGTTATATTCTTTTTGGGGGGTGGGGAAGATCCTTTGTTTAAGTAACCAACCTCCCCCTGAGGACTACCCCCCACCCCATCTTCCATTCTGGAGCCCCTAAGGCCTCAGGTGGCTAGGAGAGCAGAGTCCTGGATCCCATCTCCTGGGGGCCCAGCCAGAGCGCCCCACCAAGGGGAGCTGTCTCCCTCCCTGCCCTGCCCCCCCCCCCCCCCCCCGTTGCTCAGAGTCTGTGCCTGTTCCTTTGCCACATCACACCTGCCAGATAGGAGTCTCCTTGCTGCCTTCCCTCCTCCTCTCTTTCCTGGCACCAGGAGAACAGAGTTGGGTGGGGCAGCCCTGCCCCAACCATACCTGAGAATAGAAGGGGGGGGCACGTCTGGCAAAGGAGAGAGAGGTTCCAGCCCTAGAGAGGCCTCTCCCCTTCCACGCGAGGGAGGAGCATTGCTGCTGGGGTTCCGTGATGGCCACAGGCTGCAGGGAGCCATGGGTGTGGGGGGCTGCCCGTGGGAGCGGGGCCAGTGTGCACACACATGCGTTTGCCCGTGCATGCCCTAGTGTGTGTTTGGTCCCAAGTGGCTGCCCTGGCCCCCGCAGCATCACCCTTCTCGCTTCCCGTGGCATGGAGTCAGGGTATCGATGCCAATGATTGGGGGGTCTCCCCCCACCCTAGCAGCAGGCAGAGGGGAAGGGGAGAGGGAGGTGTGAACCTACCCACAGCACTATTAATAGCCTACATGCCAGGCCACCAAGAACCAGCTGTCACCGTGGAAACCATTCCTACTCCCCCCCTCCCCCAGCCTCCACGGGGTGGGACTTAGGCGGGGCTGAAGCACCCCCCACCCATCTTTCTTTGTTACCTTTCTCCCTTTGTCTCCCCCTCCTTCGTCTGTCTCCCCTCCCCGTGTCTGTCCTCCTTTCGCTCCCCCTTCCCTCCCATCCCCCACCGCATCGCTCCCTGTCTTTCTTTCCCAGAGTCCCCCCCATCCCCCTGCATTCTGCACCCCCACGGGCCCTGCCCCAGGTCTTTGTCCCTCCCCTCCGCTCGAGCACCCCTCCTGCCCCCCCGCCTCCTCCTCGTCCCCCCCCTTTTCGGAGCTTCCTTGGTGCAAGCCTCTCTCTGTGTGCCTGGTGAGGAGGAGGGCTGGGCTTTCCTGTGAGCATTAAGGACAAAGTTCAGGGGCCCCAGAAAGGTAGGGCCAAGATCCTCCGTAGAGCTGAGTGTGTAGAGCTGAGTGCGTACTATTCTGTGCTAGGTCCTGGGGACAGAGAGTCCTCGCAGGTGGCCCGGGAGTCCTTTGGGGGTGTCCCTTGGCTCCGCAGGACTGCGGAGTGGGACCAGCAGCAGTGGGAACCTGGCGTGGTGCCTACGGATGCCGCACTGGCTTCTTGTCCCTGTCCCCCCTGCCCCCGCCCAGCGCAGAAGCACTTAAGCTTAATGAAATGCTTCCCCCTGTGTGGGCACCTTGCCCACACTGCCACTCGGCAGCTCATATCTGACAAAGAGGAAGTGGGTGGCCGGGCCAGCCAACAGGTGGGCCTCGCTGCCCTGCTGTCCAGCCCAACCTGGGACCCCCCCATAGCTCCAGCTCCTCTGCCTCTGCAGGGGCTGCACCCGGAGGGAGCTTGGGGGGAACTCAGCTGGACTTGTGGATGAGGGGAGAGGGACTGCCCACCAGGGTGGGTATCCCTGCCCCTTGTTCCCTGACCACCTTCTGCACACAGCTAACACAGCTTCCTGGGTGCCTCCATGCATGCTGGGGCCTCTGCTGGGCTCTGTCACCCCAGAGGCCCAGGTAGCCCCTGGACAGACATCAAGGAGTCCCCAGGGTCTCCAGCCTCCAGGTGAGGGTGCCCTGGGTAGTAAGTGCAGCACCTTGGTCCTCTGTCCACAGCCAGGGGCTACCCAGGTCCAAAGTGGCACCGACTGGCACTAAGGCCCCATTGAGCTCAGCACAGAGTCAGGGCGGAGAGGGAGTCTGCCCCCCCTCCCAGCGGGCACGTGCAAGCCCTTGGCAGTGCCCAGGCACATTTGGAGTTAAGGCTGGGCTGTGGAGGGGGAAGGGGAAACAAGCAGGGTGGCTTAGGCTGGCACTGCCCCAGGTCTGCCCTGTAGCAACTGGTAGTGGGGGTGTGGGGGAAGGGGTCCTGCACAGCCACGGCCCGGGGCAGGAGCTGCCCATGCCATGTGGCTGCTGCCTGTGCTCCCTGCTCGGCGGGCCCACAGCTGCTAAGGGCCATTCCTATGCACCCTGGCCTCTGTGCCTGCGCCTGGGGCCTGCTCCCCAGGGCTGCCCCTCTCTCAGCATGCCCACTCCTGTGCCTGCCTCCTGCCCTCCCCGGGGGCGCTCGGGCCTCTGGCTGGCGAGTGGATTTTTCCAGCTTCTGTAAACAAGTGGTGGCAGTGTGCCAGGCGGGCAGGAGACAGGCGGGGGCAGCACCGCAGCCAGGGTGTGCCAAGCACCGAGGCACAGCCTTTGGTGGGGGGAGAGACAGGGAGACACCCAGGCCCAGAGAGAGAGAGAGAGAGAGAGACATTCAGATGCAGACAGACAGACCAAATGAAGGCTCGCTGGGCCCAGATAGAAGTAGAAACATAGAAGCCTCTCTTGTCTGGCCTAGCCCCCACCGTTGCCCTCGCCCCCTACTCCTCACTGGTCTGTCTGGGAGCAGCAGGCCCTGATGGCCAGGCCCTGGGCATCCCCACCCACTCCTCCTCTCCCCACCTCCACCCCTCAGGACTGGCTACGCCATTATAAATTTATAACAGGAATTTCTCCACAAGCCAAGAAAAACTTGACCTACTTTCTTGAAGGCTCCCTGAGCTAAGACTCCCTGCTCGGGGGGCCCCCCCTCAGTCTCCTGTCCGGCCCCCAGTGCCCAGTCCCAGACTGGGGGGTATCACAGGCAGAAGGGGCGCTCTTCCACACTCCTCCCACAGTCACACCCCAGGGGCTTGCCTGGGTGCAGAGGCCCTGTCCATGGCCCTGCCCAAGGATCTGACTTATCTCTCTCCCTCCCCCCACCCTCCTCCTTATCAGTTCCAGGAGGGGGGTGCTGGGGGGCCCAGGGGCGAGGTCTGTGGTGCAGCAGCCACGTGATGGAGGTTGTATGTGGGGAGCTGCACCCTTTGTCCCCCTCCCACACACCTGCACCTGCCTGCGTGCACACAGAAAGCGAGCCAGGGTCAGGGGTGCAGCGTGGCGGGATGGTGGGCCTGGCACCCTGGGCCCGAGGTAGCAGAACAAGGCTGGCACTGGAGGGTGTGAGCTTTTAGTCCCTGAGCCACCTGCTTAGCAGCTGTGAACCAGGTGAAGTTCGGGTGCCCGCTGCGGAGGGCGCCCACTGGCTATTCTGCTAACACACGTTCATTTCCTCTGTCCTGGTGGGTGGCAGCTCATCTAAACCTGCTGACAAGTCTGTTCCTCAGCCCCAGCAGTGACACTTGGGCCCTTGAATAGGGAACTCTGGGGACTGGGAGTCATGACTCGGCCTGCGGCAGAGGCTTTGTCGCTGTCTCTCTCTGTTATGGCGCTGAGACGGGCACCTGTGTGCTGCTCCCACACCCCGCTTCCTTCACGGTACCCTCATGCCTGTGCTGGGACCTGCCCACCTCTGTCTCCTCCCCTGCCATGGTGCTGATGGGTTTTCAGAGGACTTAGCTAATGTTTAACGGGCACATGTTAGCGGCTGGGCATCAGTTTGGCTGTGAGAGCTGAGTCGTGCTGCCTGGTACCTGGATGGCTTTGTCTTTCCCTTCATCCTTCCCCTGTGTGGGGCTGAGGATGTGGGTATCCAGTCTTGCCTGCTGTGCCTGTACTAGAGGAGTAACCCTGTTCCTTGTCCCACACCTACCCTCCATGTCCACTGTCGCTTTATTATAGTCCCCCGGAGCCCCAGATGTGGCCACCAAAGGGATTCTCCCCACCCTTCTACCATGGCACCTCCTTACCTGGCCTCTCTCCTCTCTCTGCAGGGATCCGCGGACAGGACGAGACTCTGAAGTTACTCTCCCAGCACCTACCCCCAGGACCACCCCCCGAAGGACCCAGCTTGCCCTCAACCCTCCCACCTGCCACTCCCTGGCCCCTCCCACCGCCCGCCCCCCTTGGGGTGCAGGGCATGGTGTGAAAGGCCAAGTGCTGAGCGGGTACCATGGGTGCTGTGCCCTAGGGCCTGGGTGGCGGGGGGTGGGCGGCCTGTGGGCGTGTTGGGGGGGCCAGCGTGCCCACCCCAGTCTCTTGGCGTGCTGGAGGGCATCCTGGATGGAATTGAAGTGAATGGAACAGAAGCCAAGCAAGGTGGAGTGTGGGTCAGACCCAGAGGAGAACAGGTAACGAATCTGGCGACGAGTTTGCACCAGCTCTTACGCGTCGATCTTGGGCGAAAGAGCTCTGTGTTGAGTGGCTCTGGGGGATGGGGCACAAAGACAGCAGGCCTGCTATCCACCTTCGTCCTAGAGCCCAGGGAACGCTCAGAGGTGGCAGGGAACCAGGCACTCGAATTGAGAGATACCCATCTTGCAGGGGCCGGTGGTAGAGACCTGAGTAATTACAGGCAGAGGAGGGCACACGGCACTTCCCTGGGTGGTGCTGGGCAGCCTGAGGTGCCCCCAGAGGCCCCTCTGTCATTGCCACCCTCACCTGAGCACGTGGGATCCAAACGGCCTTGCTGTGTCCCTCCTCTCCTCTCTGGCAGCCCGGGCCCCACCTGGTCACTTACAAGTGCCTTGTCCACAGGCTGTGGTGCTCGTAACATGACATTTCAGGCCCATGCACCGGTAACTATTGGTCACAGCCTATGCTGAGATTTGGAATCTGTTGGGAGCCCCACAAGCTCTTCCTTGTTCATGGTCAAAGGCGGACACTGCCGTGGAGCTCCTCCCAGGAAGTGGAAATGCATGCCAGCTGTGAAGGTTTTGCTTACACATGGGTGAGGCATGGCGCTGTATGCACACTAGGGACAGGTTACCTGTGATCTGCGCTGCCCTTGAGAAACCCAGAGGGTCTCTGCCTCTGCCATTGGATCCAAGTGGCACAGAGCTCTGTCCCAGTTGGCATGGAACCCCGGGAGCTGGGTACAGGCTGTGCCTATGGCCAGGGAGAGAGTGGGGGTGGGGTGCTCTGGGGAGCAGTGTGGCTGGCTGTTGCCTAGGAGATCAGATCCCGAGCCAGGAGGCTGGAGGCCTGGCCAGGCAAAGCCCTGGGGCCCAACACTGGGTCCCTGGAGGGCTGGAGGAAGTGGATGGGGCTCGAAATGGGGTAGGCACCAGGGTAACCACCCCCAAAGCCTCACCCCAACCGGGACTCTGAGGATCCGGCCTGTTGCTACGTGGCTGTCACTTGCATCCGCTGTAGCTCCCCGTCCAGGCTAATGTGGATCTGGAGAGTCTGCCCCTAAACCTTGGACAAAGGCGAGAGTGCCTTTTCTCAGTCCCTTAGGACTGCAGCCCCTCCCCCAGTATCCTCCCCTCCCCCATGTCCCTGCGCCACCTTGTGGTTGTTCCTGGGACTGCACCCAGAGGCTGGGAGTCTTGTAAACTGCTGAAGGCGCGGGCTGCACTGGGGCCTAGGAGGCCTCAGGTGCCCTGCACCCACCCCTCAGAGGAGGCGGGAGGGAGACCTGACCCTCCAGCCTTGTCGGAACCAGACAGGGTAATCCCCAGGGGGTGTGGAGCACGGGGCTGTCTGTGACTGTGACCCTGGCCAAGGTCACTATGTCAGTGTGTTGGGAACTGCGTCTGGCTCCAGGAGGAGGGGCCCTGCACTTGCCACATGCAGGATGGGAGAGGGAGGTTATACAACCCTCGCATGCACGGAGAGGGCTTATGTAAGCCGTGTGTGATGAGGTTATGTAACATGTATGGAGAGCCTGGTGACATGTATGTGCAGGGACTGAAGGTGGCTGAGAATCCCTGGCATGAAGAGGCTCAGGGTCCTTGCCCTGCCTGTGTCTCCTGTGTGCTGTGTCACCAGGCACAAGTGGGGCTTTGGTTCAGGCCTGTGTTAAATGGAGGCCGTACACAGGGTGACTGTCGTTGTCATTTGCCACTGTGGGTTACTAAGCATGCAATCCTGACCTGGATGTCCACACTGCAGAGAGAGAGAGCGGTGTTAGCAGGTGCCTGTCCAGAGAGTTGTGTAACATGTGGGCATATCCTAGAGGTCATATAACACATCTGAGAATGCCCTGGAAGTGGCATAGATGGTGGTGTATCGTACTTGGGTTTATTCTGAAGGCTGCAAAGCTATTAATATGAACGCTGGTGTCATATTGCATACATGTGCATGTGCATGTGTATGTGTGTGTTCTGAAGGTTAAGCTTATCCTGTGGATTATTTTGGCACAGTTGTCATCCACGGAAGGCTTGGATCTGTGGTGGTCCTGTTCTGTGGATTGTGGGTGCTTCATATCTACAGTGTGGTTGTAGATGTGGATGTGTGTGCCCGTACTGTGTTCATGTGTGTGCTGTATATTCATGTGTGTGTGCCTGTGTGGGTATGTGTGTGTGTTGTATGTGTGTGGGTATGTGTGTGTTGTATGTGTGGGGGTATGTGTGTGTTGTGTGTGGGGGGGTATGTGTGTGTTGTGGGGGGGTATGTGTGTGTTGTGTGTGTGGGTATGTGTGTGTTGTATGTGTGTGGGTATGTGTGTGTGTGTGTTGTATCCGTGTGGATGTGTACCTTGGGGCCCTGGAACATGCTTGTGCCCAGCCAAGGCCCTTATCTCTCTCCCCTGCAGCTTTCAGATAGCTAAAGGCTTCTAAGCCTTGTCAGCTGACCTGGGGGTGGGAGGTGGAATGAGGACACAAGGTGGAGGGAGTCGGGCCTGGGGGACTCTAGGAACCTCACGGGTGAGGAGGGGGCTGCCCAAAGACCGCTCCGTGATTCTGTCCACTTTGCCCCCATCTAGTGCCAGGTCACCAGATGGAAAGCGAAAAAGAAAGAACGGCCAATGTTCCCTGAAAACCAGCATGTCAGGTGAGCCTGGCTGTGTGTGCCCCCTCTTCCTGCCCCAACCCCCGCCAGGTCTCCCTCTGACCCATGACAGGTGCCTATGGAGGGCTGGAGGTGGGTTTGTCTGGAGTGAGAGGGGTGATGAGGGCATGACCCGGGCTTTGAGGATGGATTAAGTCAGGAAGTGCCTCTTCCCTTCTTTCCCAAGCTGCTTTCCCGAGCTGCCGCCATCCATTTTCCACGTCCATCTTCCCCCACCCATTAGCTGTGAGCGAGCAGTCAGCACTGAGCTGCTGTGTCTTCTCAGGGGGTGGACACGATGTCCAGTGACCTGTCCCCAGGATTCCACCTGGAGACAGCGAGCCCTGCAGGGAGGCAGGGCTGTGCCACAGGCCAGAAAGGGAAGGCTGGGGCAGGAGAAAGTCTCGGAGCCTCGCCGAGCTGCCGGGACCCCGAGCCATGCCTGCCCGCTCCTTTCCTCCCTCCCAGGGTATATCCCTAGCTACCTGGACAAAGACGAGCAGTGTGTCGTGTGTGGGGACAAGGCAACCGGCTACCACTACCGCTGTATCACTTGTGAGGGCTGCAAGGTAGGGACCAGCCATCCCCTGTCCCGTGCCCAGCCGCTGAGCGCCCAGCCTTGGGATCCCTCAGCACCTGGCCCGACACAGAGCCTCGTCTCGGTCTCATCGTTTCTTCTTCAGCCACCTGCTCATTCACAGCCCCTGCTCTGCTGGTGTAGGTCAATTGCCTGCTGCACTGAGCCTTCTTCATCCGTAAAGTGCGGATGACAAATGACCTCATAAAGTTGCTGGGGGAATTAAATGAGATAATTTGCATATGAAGTGTTTAAAACACAAACCAGGCACATAAATAGCAGCCAAGAAATGCCAGGTACGACCCATCTTCCAGTATTAGGTATGAGGGGTGCAGGTTATGCCCCGCCCCCAAGCTGCCCACAGCCTACCAGAGAGGGACAGACTTAAACAAACATCAGCTTTTTTCTTTCTTTTTAAAGATTAATTTATTTATTTGAAAGGCAGAGTTACAGAGAAGCAGAGAGAGAGAGAGAGAGAGAGAGAGAGGTGTCTTCCATTCGCTGGTTCACTCCCCAAATGGCCACAACAGCTGGAGCTTCGCCGATCTGAGGCCAGGAGCCAGGAACTTCTTCCAGGTCTCCCACACGGGTGCAGGGACCCAAGGACTTGGGCCATCTCCTCCTGTTTTCCCAGGCCACAGTAGAGAGCTGGATCGGAAGTGGTGCAGCCTGGACTTGAACCAGCACCCATATGGGATGCTGGTACTGCAGGTGGTGGCTTTACCCACTATGCCACAGCGCTGGCCCAGTGTTTTTTTTTTTTGTTTTTTTTTTTTAAGATGTATTTATTTGGGCCGGCGCCGCGGCTCACTAGGCTAATCCTCCACCTAGCGGCACCGGCACACCGGGTTCTAGTCCCGGTCGGGGTGCCGGATTCTGTCCCGGTTGCCCCTCTTCCAGGCCAGCTCTCTGCTGTGGCCAGGGAGTGCAGTGGAGGATGGCCCAAGTCCTTGGGCCCTGCACCCCATGAGAGACCAGGATAAGTACCTGGCTCCTGCCATCAGATCAGCACGGTGCGCCGGCCGCAGCACACTGGCCGCGGTGGCCATTGGAGGGTGAACCAACAGCAAAGAAGACCTTTGTCTCTCTCTCTCACTGTCCACTCTGCCTGTCAAAAAAAAAAATGTATTTATTTATTTGAAAGGCAGAGAGCTAGAGAGAGAGAACCAGCAGATGGAATGTCTGTCTAGATTTATTTTATTTATTAGAAAAGCAGAATGACAGAGAAGGAGAGAGATATATAGAAAGAGATCTTCCATCCAGGTCTCCTTGTGAGTGGCAGGGGCCCAAGCACTTGGACTATCTCCTGCTGCTTTCCCAGGCTCGTTAGCAGGGAGCTGGGTCAGAAGTAGAGCAGCCAGGACTCGAACCAGTGCTCAGATATTATGGGGTGGCAGATGTAGGGTCACCATCCCCTGAAAATCCAAGGTCTTCCAAGAAACAGAATTATTTGAAAATACGTTAAGGCTTGAGGTTTCTCTCTCAATGTCATGCAAACCAGACCACGAGGGTTTTAGAATTCCTGGAAGCAACACAAGCAGCGTGCGGGCAGCCGAGTCCCGGGGGAGCATCCTAAAAAGAGCAGCCTTGGCTCCTCGCCCCCCCCCCCCCCGAGTGCTGTAGGTCCCCAAGTGAGGCTCAGCAATCCGTAAGCGCTCCAGGTGATTTCAACACACCCAGAACCCGAGAGCTCAGACCTGGCTGTCTCCAGCCTGAGCCCTGGTGTAGCCAGATGGCTTTGGGCAGGTTGCTTCCTCTCTCCAAGCTTCAGCGTCCTAGCAGGAGTTGGTCACAGTCCCTACCTCCCGGGGTGATCATCAGGGGTAACCGCGAGGCTGTGTCAAAGAGGAGTTGTCTTTATCCCAGTGCTTAGCACATAGTAAGCACTCGGCAAATAGTAGCTCTTCCTTTGATTGCTGCCACCCTGGTGCCTCAGGCTTTTCCTTTCCAGGGCCCAAGCGCCCAAGCCCTTCCACGGCCTGGGTGCTGGGAGCCTGCCAGAGCCCACTGCTCCTGGGCCTGCGGGGTGGGGAGGATGCCAAGGTTCTCATACTGGCCCCGCCTCCCTCAGCACACCCCCAGCTCCTAGGGAATGCCATGGTCGGTTCAGCCCTGATCGCAGCCTGCTCCGTCTCCCTGCCCTCACCCCCAGGGCTTCTTTCGCCGCACAATCCAGAAGAATCTCCATCCCACCTATTCCTGCAAATATGACAGCTGCTGCGTCATCGACAAGATCACGCGCAATCAATGCCAGCTGTGCCGCTTCAAGAAGTGCATCGCCGTGGGCATGGCCATGGACTGTAAGGGGCGTGGGGGCAGGGGAGCTGAGCCAGGTGGCTGCGGGTGGGGGGCTGAGTTCTTGGGTGGCAGCCCGCAGTGCTCACACGGTACAGTGACAGTCCAGTTCAGTGTATTGGTCCCGGCGGGGACAGGACACAGGCTTCCTTGGGTGGCCCCTGCACTATGGCCACAGTACCCACCTGAGAGCCATAGAGGGGCTGTTATTTGGTAGAGAGAACCCCCTAGCTCGGGGTTCCCATCTCCCAGGGCAGGCTCCCCATTGCTAAGCGAGGGTTTGTGTCTTTCACTGGCCAGGGATTGGGCGGCAGGATCTTCTGGTATTGTCATAGCCCATTAAACCAGAACATGATATTCTTCTGCATCAGCCCAAGTGGGAGTTGACTTGGTCCCAGGGATTAAGCACGATCCCCGTCGTGCTACCCAGCTGCTGGGCGATTGCTTTAGGAAAGTCGCTTAAGCTCGGTGGCCCTCCAGGCCATGCACCAGGAGGAGTTTCTGGGAGCACTGTGGAGAGGCCCCGCGAAGCGCTCTGTGTCTCTGTGCTCAGTGGTTCTAGATGACTCGAAGCGGGTGGCCAAGCGCAAGCTGATAGAGCAGAACCGGGAGCGGCGGCGGAAGGAGGAGATGATCCGATCCCTGCAGCAGCGACCGGAGCCCACGCCCGAAGAGTGGGATCTGATCCACGTCGCCACGGAGGCCCATCGCAGCACCAACGCCCAGGGCAGCCACTGGAAGCAGAGGCGGAAATTCCTGGTAAGAAGAGAAGGAAGCGGCCGGCTCATTAGGCTAATCCTATGCCTTGCGGCGCAGGCACACCGGGTTCTAGTCCCAGTCGGGGCACCGGATTCTGTCCCGGTTGCCCCTCTTCCAGGCCAGCTCTCTGCTGTGGCCCGGGAGTGCAGTGGAGGATGGCCCAGGTGCTTGGGCCCTGCACCCCATGGGAGACCAGGATAAGTACCTGGCTCCTGCCATCGGATCAGTGCGGTGCACCGGTCGCAGCGCGCTGGCCGCGGCGGCCATTGGAGGGTGAACCAACGGCAAAGGAAGACCTTCCTCTCTGTCTCTCTCTCTCACTGTCCACTCTGCCTGTCAAAAAAAATTAAAAAAAAGAGAAGGAAGCGAGGAAAGTGGTGGCCCCGCGGCCGGGAGGCAGGAACGAGCTGAGCCGAGACCTCTGAGCCGTCAGGGATCCTCACTGTGTGCACACCCAGCGTGTCATTGCAGTTTGGGTCCGTCCCGTGTCTCCCATCTCATGGGGAGCTTTGTGAGGACAGGGCCTTGCCTTCCTCAGTGGACTTCCAGTGAACAGGGCCGGCCTGTCCTGCCCACAGTGACCGTGAGGAGAGGGCTAGGGCACAGTCACACAACTGTATTTCTGGGCACCTGCTAGTGCCAGACAGGGTGTTAGGCTCTGACAAAATGATTGCCAAGTGAGTGGTCAGTTAGGGAGGAGACAGACATTTGTATATAGTTGGAGGGGGGGGCAGAGACTGGTACCTGGTTCATGATGGAGGGTGGCAGGGGGTGAACAGTGCCCTGCTGGAAACAAATACTCCCATACCAGGCAGATTGGCGGTCAGGTGCCTGGGTTCACATCCTGGTTCTGCCACTAATTAGTCTTGTGACTCGGGCAGTATCACTTAGCTGTGTACGTCTCAGTTTCCTCATCTGTGAAATGGGTATTAATATTGTAGCTTCCTTACAGAATGAGGCTGAAATGAGAAAAGGTACGGAAAACACGCGGCCTCTTCCTGGCCTCAGATGAAGTGCTCAGTATTTACAACTGCTGTTGTTATTACTCTCCTGCTGCCGCTGCTTTTATCACTGTTATTATCAGCAGACCTTGGCCTTGGTCTATCCTCTGCCCCATGGTGGAGGAAAAGCCTCAGGGCTGGGGCAGTCCTCTGGGCCCTGGTGGCCCCACTTCCCCAAGCTGCCTTGGAGCTCCCCCTGGTGGGCAGGGAGCCTCAGTGAGAGGTGACAGGGGTCTGCAGCCCTAGCTGACCAACTGCCCCACCCCCACCCCATCTCCCTGTAGCCAGATGACATTGGCCAGTCACCCATCGTCTCAATGCCAGACGGGGACAAGGTGGACCTAGAGGCCTTCAGCGAGTTTACCAAGATCATCACCCCGGCCATCACCCGTGTGGTGGACTTTGCCAAAAAACTGCCCATGTTCTCCGAGGTGAGTGGCGGATGGGAGGAGACACTGGTGCCCTGCTGGGGAGGAACCTGGAGCAGCCCCCCAGCTCACTTGGTGCTGGCACTTGCCCATTGGCGGTTTGCTGGGTGGGGAGCAGTTGCTGGAGATAAATGCACACACACACACACACCTGCGTGCACACACAGGTGTGTGCATACACGCATGCATGGTGCATGTGCATATACACCGACACACGTGCACACACAACACGCTCACACATGCACTCACAGTGCTCACAGGCACGTACATAACACATACACATGTATATACATTCATGTAACACCCACACACATGCATATACATGCACGTGTGTGCACACGTACCTGCCTCCCCGGCCCGTCTCCCCTCACATCTGCATGGCCATCGCATCTCCAGGCAGCCTGCCGGTTCTCCTCGTGCCGCACAGTGCTCACTGCAGCAGGTGGCCCTCACAGCTGTGGGATCTTGGCCGAGTTCCCCCAACTCCCCCCGTACCTCAGTCTTCTCATCTGCAGGGAGTGTGGGGGAGATGACGGGACCTGAGTCCCCGGCATGTGCACGCGGGGCCCAGCACCAGGCGGAGAGCACACCTCACTGGCTGAGGCCGTGGTGGGCTCACCGACCTGGCAGCTGACCGGGGGGGGGCCTCCAGGGCGTGGGGAGGAGTGTGCTGAGTGTGCCCACGGCCCTGCCGCTCCACAGCTGCCTTGCGAAGACCAGATCATCCTCCTGAAGGGGTGCTGCATGGAGATCATGTCCCTGCGGGCAGCCGTCCGCTATGACCCCGAGAGCGACACCCTGACGCTGAGTGGGGAGATGGCTGTCAAGCGGGAGCAGCTCAAGAACGGCGGCCTGGGTGTCGTCTCCGATGCCATCTTCGAGCTGGGCAAGTCACTGTCTGCCTTTAACCTGGACGACACAGAAGTGGCTCTGCTGCAGGCTGTGCTGCTAATGTCAACAGGTACCTGCTGGTCGGCTGCGAGGGCTCGGAGCGGGCCGGGAGCTGGGCCTGTGGCTCTCCCCCCCTCCTGGATCTTCCGATCTCTCTGCTGCTCCGGAGCCCATCCCCATCACCCAGGTCCCTCTGTCACGTAGCCTCTGCTCCGTCACCCCCCTATACCCCTGTCCCCAACCTCATCTCATGCCCCTGAGCCCCTGCTGTGTGTCCTGTCCTGTCTGCCCCATGCTTTTCTCTGGGACCCATCATCTCTGTCGTTCACATGCCCCTTAGCGTCTGTCCCCAACCCCCTGCTGTGCCTTAGTCCCATCTCTTGTCCCCTGGTGCCCTCCACACCCCTCCTCTCTGACCACCACCCCTCCCCAGGTCCTCCCTGTCCCCAGCTTCACTCTCCCGTGCCAGGCCCACCTTTCTGTCCCTCTGTCCTCTGCATCCATCCACGGCCCCCTGGGAGCTTCAGTCCTGTGCCCCGAGGTCCCGCCTGCACACGATTTTCTCTCCCAGCCCCTGTGCCTCAGTCTCCCATCCCCGCCTGTGTTTCTCAGCCACTGAGCCCTGGCGCCCTCCCTCCCTCCCCCGCAGACCGCTCGGGCCTGCTGTGCGTGGACAAGATCGAGAAGAGTCAGGAGGCGTACCTGCTGGCGTTCGAGCACTACGTGAACCACCGCAAACACAACATTCCGCACTTCTGGCCCAAGCTGCTCATGAAGGTGACTGACCTCCGCATGATCGGGGCCTGCCACGCCAGCCGCTTCCTCCACATGAAAGTCGAGTGCCCCACCGAACTCTTTCCCCCACTCTTCCTCGAGGTCTTTGAGGATCAGGAAGTCTAAAAGCCTCAGGCGGCCAGAGGGTGTGCCGGAGCTGGGGGGAGGAGCCTGGAGAGAAGGGGCGGGGCTGGGGCTGAGGGAGACCCCACCCCCACACCCCTCTTCTCTCCTTCCCGCTCTCCCTCGGATAGATTCCGCTCCCATACACACACCCCACACTGCCCAGGTCCCCCCTCAGAACCTCCAGCCCTGGGACAGGGCAACAAATGAACTTGCTATGAAAAGGACAGTGTGGGAGGCGGGGGGAGACCCAGTCCTCTGAGAAGCCAGGGGAAGGGAGAGAGAAACAGAGTGGACAAGCCATCTTGACTGTAGGGAGAGGAGGAAGGTGGGAGGGGGCAGATGCCCTCAACTCTCCCCCTGCACAAAAGAGAGAGACAGAGAGAGAGAGAGAGAGAGAGAGAGAGAGAGAGAGGGACACCCTGCCCAGTCCCTTGGCCGAGGTGTCCCCTCCAAGCTAAGGCCTCCTGCTCCCCCAGATGCCTGGGCTCAGAGGACGACTTGGCTCGGCGCCTCCCCTGGGGGTTAAATGTTATAGTCATTCTAACTGCACTTTGGAAACAAGCAAGGGGAGAAGATAGATGAAGAAAAACTAGACCAAGAAAAAGACAAAAAAAGAGCGCGAGAGAGAGCGAGAGCGAGCGAGAGCGAGCGAGCGAGAGAGATGATATTAAGTTATTAACTAAGGCTGGCCAGAGGGGAAGGACCCCCCCTTACCACCCCATGCACTTTGACAGCTGCCCTTCCTCCTCCTCGAATCAAAGAGAGTCCCTCTCCCAGCAGACCGCACCGGGAGGGCTGCCCATCAGAGCTGTGAGCTGACACAACAGGGTCCTGGCCACCCCCTTGCCTTGCCCCTCCCCCTGTGCCCCTTTGGCACCCCCAGCCCAGTTCTTCCTCCGCTCTCTGCCACTCGTGCCCGCTGAGTTCCATCTACCTCTCACGCTGGATGCCAGTTGGCCCCTCACCTCCTGTCCTGCTGCCCGCACAGCTCCCCATTCAAGTGCCCAGCCCCAGGGGCCTGTCCCTGTCCCCCGCCCCTCACACACACACACGTGCACACACACACACACGCACACACACGCACACCTTGGCACCCACATGGGAAAAGCTGTGGCTGCGGCTTCCGCCCTCCTCATGTCCTGCAGTATTAGCTATGGTCCAGATGCTGCTGCCCGGGGCGGGAGCTGTGCGTGAGCATCTCCCTGAGTCCCAGCCCCTGGGGGCGGGGGCTCGCTTGCCCTGTTTCCCGGTCTGTCTTCTGGGCTCTCTAACCTCTGCCCTCCTCCTTCCCTGCTCCTATACAATGCGCTCATCCTGACTCTGGGTGGGCAGGCACCAGAATGGGGGTGTCCGGGTCAGTGGCACTACATTGGGGCCCTGGGGGAGGGGTGGTTGGTGCTCCTCCTTTTTTCCCTTTGATGCTCTTCAGACCAGCCCCCCTCTGCCCCTGGGCTCCCTTCCCCTCTTCTTTTCTCAAATTCAGGGACTTTGGCTTGAGCCCCTCCCACCCTCCTGGTGAGGAGTGCTCTGTTGGTCTGCACTTGGGGCAGCTGCCCTCCTCTTCCTCCGCCTCCTCCCTTTGGCTATGGCAGCTCCTCAGGGGAGAGAGAGGGAGGGAGGGAAGAAGGAGAGGAGTGGGGAGGGACAGCGCAGACCAGAGGGCCCTGGGCTCAGGGCTGCACGTCGGCAGGGATGGATGGGTGGACATAGATGCCCCCGGAAGCCATGGGGAATGGGGCAGGGGTGGGTGGGGGAGGGGGCGCCAGGGCTTCCTGCGCTTTGCACTATTGGGGCAAAAATGTCTTAAGCAGTGGGGAACCTGCCACCCCACCCCAACCCTCAGCCTGCCACAGCCCCCTACACACACATACACACACACACACACACACACACACACGCCATGAGCATCCACACGTGCACCCACACACACAGGAAGGCAATGCTATGCTGCCTGCCAGGGCGGTGTCCTTCCCCGCTGATCAGGTGTTCCCACGGGGATGGAGGGCCTGGAGGAGCATCCTGTCACCTGTGCATGTGCCTGCCCGCCCCACCGGGGCCCTGGGCTGCCCGTGCTGTCTTTGTCTCTGTCCTCTCCCTCTCTCTCCTGGGGTGTGACTGCAGTCCCATGGATAAGCCCTCTTGTACCTGACTCCCATACCTGGGGTCCCCAGTGGAATTCCTGACCTATCTGCTGTCTCCCCTACTCCTTCATCCCCACCCCTCGCCCTCCATCCCCATTTTCAGCCATGGACTCGGTGAAGAAAAGGCCCGGAAGAGCCTTGGCCTCTTACAGGCACTTAGGAACCCCTCCTCCCCACTTCTGCCCTCCCCAGTCAGATGAGCTGTGACCCCCTCCCCCACCGGGGCCCTTCCCCTCCCCCCTCAGTGATGTGGGGCGTATGTGTGCGTTTCTCTGCGTGAATGTGTGAGTGAGTACGCATGGTGCCGGAGGAGCCAGGGAGACTCAGGAGTGCCATGCATCTGCTCTAGAGAGGCAGCTGTCCCAGTCCCTGCTGAGGAAGTGGGGAATAGGGCCCTCTCCTGGGGGCCATTGGTGCTAATGAGGGGGTGGCCCTGATGTGGGTGCTTGGCATGCCTCCCCCGGTATTGGCCCGGGCACTAGGGCAGGCAGGGTGGGGCAGCAGGTGCAGTATTGGTGGGAGGATGGGTTGCTGGGAACAGGATGGGGGGGCCAGGCTAGGACAAGGGGGTGCCAGAGCCATGACCACTACCCCGCCCCCACCACCCGCCTCTCCATCTCAGTATTCCCCCTCCCATCACTTATAACACACATACCTCATCCAGCCTCCTCCCTGCTCAGACTTGGGGAGGGTGGGGGAGGAGGAGCTCCTACCCCTTCCCCAGGGGGCGGGTCTGCAGGGCTGGGAGAGGCCAGGGCGTGTGACACAGACACCGTCCATAAGGGGGGGACAGTAATTCCTGCCCTGGGAACTCCTGGGTGGGGGGAGGGGACACTGCCCAGAGGCGCTACTGAATGTATGAGAAGCTGGTGCTGGGGTGGGGGTGGGGGGCTGTGGCCAGAAACAGGGAAGGAGGTAGGTCCCTTCCCCAGGGAGGGGTGGGACCGGTAGGGGTGACTTGAGGGGCTCCTACTCCTGCCCCACGTTGACAATCAGTATGTCTGTTATGTGCGATTTTTCACCCCGTTGTGTTTTGGGTCAGGATTTTAAAGAAAGATATTTTTATGGTAATTGTTGCTCGTCTATTTTACTATATATTTATGTAATAAATATATGATGAAAATCACCCCCTTGGGCACCCCCCTTAGACTTGCGTGCTGTTTCCCTATATCCTCCCATCTGCTGGCAGAGTACACCCCCCATATTGACCAGATGGAGAGGTGTCCCCCCCAGCCTTGGCAAGAGTCCCGCCCCACCCTTCAAACGAGCACACCACACCACAGAAGCCAGCTCAGCTCGGAACTATTGGATTTGAGACAGGAACAGAACCAGAGGGGGAGGGGGCGAGAGAAGGGTGGGAATGAGGGAGTGGCTTAAATAGGGGCGGATGGGGGGGGGTCCAGTGATGGGGGAGGGAGGCAGGCATTTACAAGAAGGCTCAGGGGGCCAGCGGCTCATCTTGGAATATTTTATAACAATATAAATAAGATTCTGGTTTGCTTTTCCTTTTCGTCTCGTAAAGGAGAGAGAAGTGCAGAGTTCGATTCTGTACAAGGGGGCAGCGGCAGAAGGCCGGCCGGGCGGGTCACTGGGCGTCCACCCGGAAGGACAGCAGCTTCTCGGAATGCATGTTGTTCAGGGTCCGCAGGTCCGGCAGCTTGAGCAGCAGCTTGGTGAAGCGGGAAGTCTCCGAGGGCCGGTTCTTCAGCACCAGAGCCCGAAGAGCCCGCAGCAGCGTCTCCTGGAGCTGCTCCACCGAAGCGGAATTCTCCATGCCCGAGCGGTCTGTGGGGAAGACGACAGCAGTGAGGCAGACTCCCTGAGCTCCTCTGACGAGGACCCGGAGGGCTGCGAGGAGGACCGGGCAGGCAAGGCAGCCTCCCCCTGAAGCCCGGCCCCCCGGGGGGAAGGGCCGCCAGGGGAGGAGGAGGAGCCACAACTCCCACAACTCCTTCTCCCAGGCCTCGGCCCCACAGCAGGTACCGCCTGCCGGCGCTGGGGGCGGGAGCTCAGCAGGGCTGGCCACCGCCCACCCCACCAGACTACTCTCCCTCCCTGAACAGGCCAAACCTGGCCGGGCTCCCTTGCTTTTTGCTCTGTAGTTCCCTCTGCCTGGGATGCCCTTTCCCCCTTCTCTACCTGGCAACATCCTACTTGTCCTCTGAGGCCTCACTCAAGTGTCACCTCCTTCCCCAGCTGCCCAGGCAGAAATAGTCGTCTGTGCTTCTTTGGTCCCTGCTTCTACTGTGACACTTATCTCACTGTTTTATAATTAGTCGGGCATGAGTCTGTTTCCCAAGCTAGACTGTGTCTGAATCGTGTCTGTATCGCCAGTGCCCAGTGCAGGGCCTGGCATAGGGTAGGTACTCCATAAAAGGTGTGTTGAATCCAACTGCGTGTGCCTCCTCCCCGCGGGCGGGCCGGGTGAGAGCTTGAGCTACCTGCAGAGACCAGCACCACCGCGGTGAAGAGGCCCAGCTCCTCCTCGGTAAGCGCCAGGGAGTTGAGCTTCTCACTGAAATCGAACATGGCATTGAGCAGGTCTCCCATGCCCATGGCGCCCAGCTCCTGCAGGCTGTAGGTGGTGCGGCTCAGGAACATCACTGTCTGGTCCTTCACGTTGAACAAGGACGCAAACCGCACCATCAGCACCTAAGGCAGGGGATGGGGGAGTCGGTCATCGAGGGTGAAGGGATGGCAGGAGCCCTTGCCCAACTGCCCCCGAAGTTTGCCAAAGGGTTTAGTGATGCCACCTTAGATTTCTCAGTTGCAGGTGTGCTTTTGAATGAGTAATGTGGGGGGAGGGAAGGGGGCTGGTGGAAGGGTGGGAAACATCCCACTGACTCTGAAACCCTACAGGCCTCAATCTGAGTCTCAACGCAGGCTGTCACTACCTGCGACCTTGGGCAAGGCACTTCCTGAAGTTCACTGCCCCCTGTCTAGAATGGGGGCCATGCCACTGTGGACCCTGCTGTGTACATTTTAACAGGATGGGTTGTGATTAGCCTCTGGTGGCGATGACAGGAGTCCCAGAGGCAGGAGTGGGAGTGACGCTGCCCCTCCATCAGCCTAGAAACAACAAAGACATTGGGGTCCCAAAGCCTTCTGCAGTCCCTGCCTACCCCAGACACCAAGCCTTCCTGCTGAACCTTTTTTCCCAAGGTCAAGAGCAGGGAGCACAAACAGTCACTCACCTCAAAAGTGCCAGCCTTAAGCAGAGTGACCTGGTCATGCTGTGAAAGGTCACGGAAGCCAGGGATGTGCTTGGCAAACTCCACCACCTCCCGCACAGCGGGCGTGAAGCTCATGGAGAAATCTTCCCAGATCTCCTGCACGGTTCGGCCACTGCGTCCGTGGGGGTACATGTTCATGGGACACGCCTGGGGGAGGAAGGCATTCGGAGAGGGGAGTGTCAGCCAGGCTTCGTCTGCAGGGCTGGGCCCCAGATTCTGCCTAGGCTAGGGCTGTGGTTCCGAAGGATGATCTTTCATGTCACGAAAAGTAGCAGCCAGGTGCCAGGTAGAGATGAGGGGTTCCCAGGCAGAGCCTAGACTGCTGGGCTGGGAAGAGGATATCCCCACACTCAGCCTCCAGGAACACCCAGCTGCCTGCCCTAGGCCAAGTTCATTCTTCCAAGCCCCCTGTCCTCCTCCCTCACCCCATGCCCTCACCAGCAGAACATTCTTGGAGTTGCCTTGCCGTGGACTGTTGGCAGGTGCCTCGCCTTCCGGGGCTGCATACATGTGGGTGGGGCATAGGCGGTGCCCGTTGCTATTGGGCTGGTGGCAGCTGTGGTGGGCAGGGCCAGGGGGCCAGGTGGGAGGGTAGGAGGAGGGGGCCTGGCGTAGACCATTCAGGGCCTCGTTATGACGCTGGGCGGCCAAGGTGTTGTTGTCATTGGGGGCAGGTGGGCAGCCCTGATTCTCCCAGCGATGTGGGGTGGTGGCTGGAGGACTACCCGATGTGTGGTTGGCATTGAAGTTGCCAGGTGACGTGCCCAGCTTGTCATGGGCATAGGTGAAGATCTCTCGATGGGCCCGGGCCACCTGGGATATCACATCCTCCACGGTAGGCTCAGGACTTGGGGATCTGGGTGGCGTCAGCTGTTGTGGAAACTGGGAGAAGCCCACCAGGGCTGAGGGCGCTGGAGCAGGTGGTGGTGGCGAGGGGCCCATGGGGCCTGGGGTGGGGTGCTGGGTGGAGGAGTTCTCCAGCGGGCACTGGCTGCTCAGCTGATTGTTAGCCAGATTCATGGCACTCTGCATCTCCGCAAGCATCCGCTGCTTCTCTCGTTTGGGGATGCGGCCAAAACGCACGGCTGTGACAGGATGAGAGCAGTGTCAGGAAGTTCTCACACACACTCACACGCATCGCTTCCTTCCTTCCTCCTGAAAGGGCAGGACCCTGCAGGCTGGCTGTGTGTGTGTGTGTGTGTGTGTGTGCGTCCGTCCCATGTTAAAACCAAAACCAGCAAGGCCACGCGTGTCAAGGGGCTTTCCCAAGTAGGGACGACTGGCAGGGGGTGGCCAGGGGGACCCATGGGAACAGTGTGTAGCAAACAGGACACCGAGTGGGTATCCTCCATGCGGATGAGTTCACAGTGTGGAGCGTCTCGCTGTGGGACTGGCAGCGAGGAACGCAGAAGCCGGTGGAGGAGGGGCGGCGATGCGGGGATGCGGCCTCACCGTCTCGAGACATGCCCACGGAGAGACACTTCTTGAAGCGGCACTGCTGGCAGCGGTTGCGGTTGATGCGGACGATGGAGCAGTTCTCGTTCTTCAGGCACCGTTTGTACTGGATGTTCTGCTGGATGCTCCGACGGAAAAAGCCCTGGCAGGCAGGAGCGCCTGGTGAGCGTCTCCGTCCTGGTCTGGGCCTGTGACCTCCTTGGGGAGGCCATCAGCTAGCCTGCCCCCGCCCTGCCCCCGCCTCACCTTGCAGCCCTCACAGGCATGCACGCCATAGTGGAAGCCTGAGGCGACGTCCCCACACACTTTACACAGCAGCACCATGCCGTTGAGCTCTGTGGGAGGAAGGGGCAGCTCTAGGAGAAATCCCCAAGGCCAGGGGAGGCCCTGAGAGTAACAGCCACATGGAAACCAAGTCCAACCCAGCCCTCGCCGGCTTCCCTGCCCCCAAGTCAGCTGGCAATCTACTCACTGGTGATGTTGCTGGTGCTTTTGCTGGGGGACACTCGGCTGCTGTCCTCCATGGCCACCTGTAGACTCCCTGGGGGGCTCCCATTATAGAAAGAAGAGGAGGAGGAGGAGGAGGAGGAAGATGAAGAAGAAGGGGAGCAGTCATCACTCAGACTGGGTGGAAGGCTCCCAAAGGAGCGAGCTGGGTCCTGAGTGAGGGAGCCAGTGGGTGATGGTGGGAAGTACGCAGGGCAGCCTTGGGTCAGGGACTGGAAGCTGCCATTGGAGCTGTCACTGTAGAGGGACTCCGGGCTGGTGCGGCTCGGGGAGGAGCCACTGGAACCGATGTAGGTGATGACGCCACCTGGTGAGAGAGTGCAAGGAAAAGTGTCAGCCGCCTTGTCTCGTGCCAGAGCATGCACCAGTCTTCCCCAAATGCTGCTGGGGCTGATAAGCAAGTCCTCGATACATACTGGACATGCCCTGGGATGCCAACATCCACCGTGCTTTGCAGAACGCATTCAGCTTCTGCTCTGGGTGTGAGGTGTGACCCCTGTGGGCACCTCCCACGGATGCCTCTCTGCCCTAGACACCTTCCTTGGGAAACAACAATTACAGCTAATGACTTACTTAGCTGACAGTGGCAGAACTAGGGATAGGCTGAGCAGCTGAGAACTTGTCACAGTGCCCTCTGTCCCCACCAACAAAATAATAATAATAATAACAAACGGCTGCTAGTTTTAATACCAAGGCCATTCTGGGGATGAGATCAGGGGCCACAGATGAGTGGCTAGCAAAGAGTGAACAGAGTGGCAATATAACAATAATTAAGACAGTCACATGCCCACTAAATGGGGAGACATTTTCTCTGCAGGTCCAGAAGGAAGGGAACCTGCCCAGCCTGCCTCGCCTGGCCTCTGAGAGCATCCCAGTGGACTCATTATCTCCGAGCCCAGGAAAGACTGAGCGACGCCAGTTTGTGCAATGCAGACGTGAAGTGCATATTGCCCGGCCCATGGCTCTGGATTTCCCCATTTTAGATCTCCGAGTGGTGATGACCTTGGGTCTCTGGCCATTCAGGGACTTTGGTCCTCTGGTTGCACTGCCAACCAGGTGGCCCTGCTCCCTTGGTCTTAGCAGAAGAAGGTGACCTGCCTGCCCAGGGTGGGGTGGGAGAAGGGAGGCTCCCGGGACACGTGTGAGCTGACACATGCCATGCCACCGTGTCTGCAGAGGCACATGTCTTGCTCACCCACTGACACACACTAAACTGGGCAGGGCAGCCCTTAAATAGCTCAAGGTTGGTCAGGGTGAACCCAGCTCCCTGTAAAATAGTTGCACAACAGATTAGCTCCTACAGTTTCAGGGCTGAGGTGGGGGATGGGATATTTATTTGGTGGAATGAACCTGACCTAGTTTACTCATCCCCAAATGGGGAGTAAGACTTGTCACCTCAAAGTGACTCCAACCCGGGAGGGAGAGGTATGCTCCAAAAACTCTTTTAGATCTATCCCCGCCAACCTGCTTTGTGAGGTGAAGGAAATCAACTCCCCTCTCTGGCTTTTAGTTCCCCCGAGTGGGGAAAGAAAAGAGAAGGTGAAAGTGAGGTATCCCGCTAGAGATCTGGGATGTTTGCTTCGGGGAAGTGGGAAGTTCTACGGAGGTAGACTGGGGGTGAAGGAAGACGCTGCCTGCAAGACCAAGGAAAACAAAATTTGCTATGTGGAGAAGCTGAGGCTAAACGCAGTAGAACTAGGCAGGCGCAAACACAGAGGGAGGAAGGGAGAAGGGTGGCTGGGTGGGAGCTCCCTCTGGGGAACATAAACACGAGGCCACGAGAGGTCAGGGATCTCCATCTCACCCCTCTTCGGGGGAGGGAGGAGGGGCCAGCAAGCAGACAGGAAAAGGAGGCAGGCGGGGGCGGTGAGTCAGCCCCGCTTCACCCAGATCTCTGCAGGGCGGGGCGGGAGCCCGGCCCTCAGCCGGCCTCACGTCCCAGCTCCACGTGTGCCTCTCGCACGTGGCTCCCCAACGAGGAACCCCGGAACTCTAGGCCCCGCCCTCTCCGCTTCCCGTCCGCGGGGAGCGGCGGCCCCGCCGTCGTCCCGCCCCTCCCCGGCCGCCGGGTCCGAGGCTGGGCCGGCAGAGCTAGCTGGGCCGAGACAACCTAGGGGAGGAGAGCCGGGGAACACGCGTTGCCAGGGCAACCGGGGGCGGAGCTCATTATGTAACGGGGCCGGGAGGCAGCGACCAATGGGGTGGCGGCCACGGCTTCTGCTGAATGAAAACAAATGCAGCACGTGGGCCCGGCTCTGTGGCCATGTGAGCCCTCCTGGCGGCCCGGGCGCCGTGGGTGCCCTCCCTGGGGCCGAGCACCCGGCTCCGGACTTCTCCATTGCCGCTCCCTGCTGTCACTGAGGCTCCCCCCAGAGAGCGCCAACCCATGCCCCCTGCCCCTTCTGCCCCGAGCCCGGATCCTCCACTGTGTCAGAGTCCCCGGAGCCTGCGGGAACTAGAGGAAGGGTAAAAGAGGAAAGAAGCAGGCTTTTTCCCGAGGTCAGAAATACCGCAGCTGCAGAGAATGCACAGGTGGGGCATTTCGGGATATTGCCCCGAAGCTCCCAGGCCCCCTAAACTCTTCAAGTCACCACCTGTCTCCGGTCTTCATTCCCTCCTGCCCAGGATTCGAGTCTTTCAGGCTCAGGGGGGCTCCAGGACTCAGAGCGCTCCCAAGCGCACTCCCAGCACCAACAATCCGCTCTGGAAGTCCTACCCTAGATCCCGCTCATCTCGCTAGCAAGTCCGCGGGGCCAACGGAGTCCCCAGACCCTTATAAAGTTCCTCTTGTTAGAAGGCATAGATGGAGGTAGGGAGACAGTGACAGAGAAAAGATGATGACCGCAGGGGAATCGCAGTACCTGTGTTGTTGTTGGAGTCCAGGGTTGTCATGTCTTCACCGGCTGACAGCAGTCATTCAAACCGGACCTTGACACGAACTGGAGGCTGCGATCGCCGCTGTCACCCCTCGGGCACTGACTGAGGGCGGAGAGTGGACCTCGAGGCTTACGATCAGGATCCGAAGCACCCTGCAGCAAGGTCTTGGGGTGGCCCGACTGCAGCCGTGAAGGATAGGACGCCGAGGCAACGGAGCTCTGCTTTGCATGGGAAGAGCAGAGAGAGTGTTTAGGGGGGAATCAGCCTGCGGCAGCTCTGGCTAAAAGGTGGCCAGGAGGGTCGGGTCTCTGCAGTGCACCGAGTGCTACTGCCTGCCGGCTCCGCAGCGCTGCAGGGTAGCGAATCTAGAGCTCCCAGTGCAAACGTCCCAGAGGGAGAGAGGTTGCAACCAGGAAGTAAGTAGGTGATGGGGAGAAACGGGGCACCCGGGCGCAAAGAAGCGAGACGTGTGCCCCGATACGTTCCCTCAGCAGCAATATTTCACTCTGCCAATCTCAGCCGCCTTTTGCCCGAGCCTTTCCCTGGGACAGAGTGCTCTGCGCAGGCGCCAGCAGCCCAGGGTTCCCGGGCCGCACGCGGCACTGGAGCAGGTACCATGTGATCCCAGGGAGCGCCTCGTGCCCCAGTGACACACTTTTCCAGCAGCCGGCACGTTGAGCGCCGTGCGCCTGCGCAGTACCGAGGCTGTCGGGATTTGTAGTCCAGGGACAAAGTGGGCGGACTGCGTGTAGTTCCCCTTTCTGCCTAGCAAACAGCGCTTGCAGGAACCGGGGAGGAGCTGAGAGTAGAGTGGGGTGGAGTGCGCTGAAGAGTCAGGGTGGCGTGTTTGGAAAGCCTGTATGGCAAGGGCATGTGAATTCCTGGGGAGGGGCTGGCCAGCTTGGCTGCGCCCTGGGAGATCAAAGCTAACAGGCCTTTTCTGCAAACCTTGCAAACGTGAGTGCTTCACGTGATTGAGGGACTGACCTCTTCCTGAGGTTGCTGTTGGCACGGGGCAGAGAGAGAGAAGCAGGCGAGGGAGATTTCTCTGGAGTCACGCTGCCTTCTGCTGCGGACCCGAGGTCTGAGAGGAAAGGAAATGCAATCCTTTTTCTCCTCCCCGGAGGGAGGCCACCCTTAGGGAAAGAATTCCCTCGGAGGTGGGGATGCCCCTAGGGGTTCCCTGTTTGCTTGTGTGACACCATCCCACCCACTCGAGGTGACTTTGGGGTGAGTCATTTCCCTTTGTGTGTGTGTTGGGGGGGGGGCAACAGAGAGGAACTTCATGGTGAAAGTGCTTTGAGGCCCCCAAATAATGGGGGCAAAGTGACAACCCCCAGCCCTCAGGGGTTGAGGATAGCTGTGGATTACAGACGGTAACTCAGGGGACCAGGAAGGTCTTCATCTTCCCTTCTTTTACTGAGGAGGAAAATGAGGCTTGGAAGAAGCCCCTGGCCCAGGGTCAGCCATTCCTTGCTAGTTTCATCTGCCACCCTGAACTTCAGGGAAATGGGTGGAAGAGCAAGCAAAACACTGAACCCGGCTGCATAACAACCAGCATCTTCCTTCAGAGCAGCGACTGCCCCACGTGTGAAAAACAGGTCTCAACCAGAGGTCTATCCTGTTAAGAGGGCTTGGCTTGTATGGAGCAGTGGGAGCCAGCAGCCATTCCAGCGGAGCCTCCCACCCCTCCTGCTACTTCCTCAGCCCCAGTGTTTCTTCACACAGGAAGCCCTTCTCTTGGACACAGGCAGCTCCTGGGGCAGCACTGATGGGTGCCTAGGAAACGTGACAGCCGGCAGAGATAACGCAATGGGATACTGCTGGGCACCAAGGCAGGTGGACGCGGGGTAGTGAGTGCGGGTGAGGCTAACTGGGCGGCTGGTTTGACCACTGATAACCCGCAGCAGGTGGGCTCCCACGTGTGGGCTGGGCTCCACCTTTGTTTCCCTGTTCCCCAAAAAAGTGGGGGAGAGTTGACAGTGGGGCTCATCCCTGGCCTGCCCTGGCCCGTGGGCGCAGAGCTGAGAAGCTGCCGCGGAGCTGAGTGTGGGAGGGACTGGGAGGGGCTAGGACAAACAAGGAAAGAGGCTTTTCAGGAAAACTTGGTTCTGAGCTCAGCCTCCGCCCCTTCTCCCTCCTCCCAGTGGGCTCTGGAGGGAAAGCTGGGAAGTGAGCGACCTTGTCCTGGACTGTCTGCTCTCTGCTGAGCCCCTGACTCTCCATCAGAGCCGGGGCCAGAGCGCAGGTACCTGTCAGGGCCCTTGGCAAGCCGTCCATCTCCCTACAGCACATTCCTTCCGACTGCCCGGCTCAGCCCCAAGGCCCGCTGCTCTGCTGCCCTGTCTCCTTCCTACTTGCAGGGGCTTTGTGCCTGCAGGGGAAGGGCCAGCAGTCACGACTCCCTCCCCGAGTTTGCAACCAGTGAGGAGGAGGGGGAAGCGGAGGCAGGGAGAGCTGGGATTCAGTCAGCCCGGCTCTTGGCAAGAAGCCGGTTTGTTTGGCAGTCTGTGTGTGGCATGAAGGCGAAGGCTGGGAGAGCGGAGGCAAGGGAAGGGGGCTGCCTCGGCTCCCTCCTGCCTCTGCTTGTCTTCTAAGACCTCTCCTTTTCTCCCTGACAAAGAAGCAGCTTCAGGGTGTGTCTTCTACAAGTAGTGAGAGGATCAGAATGAAAAGGCAGGGCTCTTCCTTGGCTCCAGAAGCTTCTAGCCTGCCACTCTGCTCCTGTCTCTCTGGGAGAAGGGCAGAGACGATGGGACCCCAAACCACCAAAACAGAGGTCCCCAGGGGAAGCCTGGATTGTCTGGCCCTTGGGGACCTGGAGTGGAATCTTGGCCTCTCTTTGATCTCAGCCTTAACCTTAAGCCAACAGGTGCATCTAAACACATCCTCTCTTTCTTCTATCAGCTGAACATTCCAGTTCACTTCTATAGACACACACACACACACTCACACACATCATTCCTCCCATAGCCAAATTCAAACTATTTTTCAAATTTTAAAAATTTATTTGAGAGGCAGAGAGACAGAAATACACAAACAGAGATCTCCCATCTACTGGTTCATTCCCCAAATGCCCACAACAGCTGAGATTGGGCCAGGCTGAAGCCAGAAGCCAGGAACTCAATTTGGGTCTCCCACATGGGTGGCAGGGACCCAAGTACTCGAGCCATCGCTTGCTACCTCCCAGGGTGCACATCAGCAGGAAGCTGGAATTGGAAGCAGAGTCCAGGACTTGACCCCAGGTACCATGATATGCGATGTGAACACCCTAAGCAGCATCTTTTTTTTTTTTTTTTAAGATTTATTTATTTATTTGAAAGTCAGAGTTACACAGAGAGAGGAGAGGCAGAGAGATCTTCCATCTGATGGTTCACTCCCCAGTTGGCCGCAACGGCCGGAGCTGTGCCGATTTGAAGCCAGGAGCCAGGAGCTTCTTCCAGGTCTCCCACATGGGTGCAGGGGCCCAAGCACTTGGGCGATCTTATACTGTTTTCTCAGGCTGTAGCAGAGAGCTGGATGGGAATTGGAGCAGCTGGGTCTTGAACTGGCGCCCATATGGGATACCGGCACTTCAAGCCAGGGTGTTAACCCGCTGTGCCACAGAGCTGGCCCCCCTAAGCAGCATCTTAACTGCTGCACCAAATGCCCACCCTGAGACTGGGCTCTTGGTAACAGTGCTCAGATTGGGCAGAACAGATGCATTTCCAAGCCCTGGCACAACAAGGAATGTACCTGGCTCCATAATGCAGACTTCCACCATGGGATTCCATCAGAATCCCAGAGTATTCTGGGAACTGATCTCACCATTTAGGGGTGTGTGTGTGTGTGTGTGTGTTTCCAAATATGTATTTAATTCTCCTGGATTCTTTGGACTCGGTAGGACAAGAGAGACTGAGTAGAGGGAAAGGGATTGAGAGCTCTAAACTCTGGCCAGAGTGCGAGTGTGTGAGTGTAGGATTGCGAGGGTGAGGTTGAATGTTTATGTGAGTGCAAATGTTCTGAGAATACATGGGTGTGTGCATTCTGGGATCTCTTTGCCTTGTCAGGAGGTTGTTTTGGGCAACGCCCTGTGCAAATCCGTGGTGGCCTACATCTTGGGCCCACTGCTTGACTGACTGAGGGTGGATCCTTGTTGAAAACAGGTCAGGCTTCAGGAGGTGCCTTCCCATCCCCCTCCTTTCTCACCAAGGAATCATTGCCCAAAATAAAAACCTGTCTGCCCAGGTGAAGTAAACCTGGGACAGAAACCCTGGGGATGCCTTGGAACCAGAGAACAGCCATGTGCTCGGGGAGACTCGTTCCCTGGCCTCCTGGGTCCTTTTCCTGGTCTCTGAAGCCCAGCTTACTTTCCCTACCCCACCCAAAACCCTGATGTCTTAGGGAGAATGTGCCAGAGGAGGAGCCAAGGCTGAGCTAACTTGTTCTTTGGGGGAAATGGAGAAAAAAGGGTGAGGCGTGAGCCAGGGCTGGGCTCCATGGAAGTGCTTTGCCTCAGAGTCTATCTCTACCTCATTATTGGCTTTTTCTAAGGAAAGGAAATAATAAATATGTATTAAGCACTAACTGTATGCCACGCATTGTGCTAAGGGCTTTACACACATTCTCTCACTTAATATTCACAGTCACCCTATGCTGTGGGTTGCATTCTTTATTTTTAGAGATGAGGAAACACACTTGGATATGCCTATTAACTTGCCCAGGGCGCCAGAGATACTAGGCGATTTGTCTTGAAGCTGCACACAGCACATTACGGAAGGCAGAGAAGGTGTCACAGAAAAGAATGGCGGAGTTGGTGGAGATGATTGGAAGGGCTGAAGCTGCCCCAGCCATTTCTTGAAGGTACCATTATCACGGTCACAGTGAAAGTGGCAGTGTGGGGGATTCAGTCCCAGGGTCCTAAAGATGACGTTTTCCACAAGCAAGGCTGCCCTCCCTAGAG